GAGCCTATCCAATTGTTCCTGCCCCCGTTAGTCCCCATCTTGGCTTTCTAGGAGTATTCTCAAAAGGAGCCAACGTTTTTTCCATATGCCTTAAAACCTACCCTTTCTGACCAAGGGACACCCAGCAACTTACAAGCTATAGTGCTCAGTTGTCTGGTCAAACACCAGCATGCCTGTTGCTATAAAGGTATGTTTTGGATGTGTGGGTTTCACCTAATTTTTAAATTTTTTAATTAAAGCAGAGCAGAATTCTCTTTGTGAGCTTTCCATCACTGTAACAAATGCCTGATGTAATTAACTCCTAAAGGGAAAAGGTTTATTTTGGTTCACAGTTTTGGAGGTTTCAGTCCATGATTGATAAAGGCATGTGTGGTAGAGTGAAATTATCACCTATCTAGGAAGCAAAATAGAGGATTGGCTATTCCCATTCTAATTTCCATCAAGTTCTTAATTTCCCATGGTGCCACTTTATTTCTCTTGGCTTTGCCTGAGAAGCTCCAGGAGGGTTACAATAATTAAAAAGACAAAGTCCCATAACCATCTTTAGGGGTAGAACCTGAGAATGAAAGACCTCCCTCAGGACCTACTCCCTAAGTTCCACCCCTTCCCAGTACCACCAGGGGCTGAGCACCAAGCCTTCAACACACAGATCTTTGGGAGACACTTATCCAAATCATAGCATGCTCCCTAATGTGGGTGGGTTGCATCAAATCAATTGAAGGCCTTGAAAGACAGGAAGGATTGCCCTCATACTCATGACTACAACCTCAACTCGTCTGGGTTCTAACCTGCAGCCCCCAAATCATAGCATGCTCCCTAATGTGGGTGGGTTGCATCAAATCAATTGAAGGCCTTGAAAGACAGGAAGGATTGCCCTCATACTCATGACTACAACCTCAACTCGTCCCTGGGTCTCTAACCTGCCAGCCCCCAAACCATGAGTCAATTCTCTAAGATAAATCTCCATAGATAGATGTTTCTATATACATCCTATTGGTTGTTTCTCTGGAGAACCCTGACTTATGCTTGATCTGAAGCTTTCAGATCCTCCCTCACCCTTGTGATGCACCTCTTATGTTCCCTGGTCAATCTCTGAACTTTCCACTACTCATAATTTTGTTTTGATTGTGTTTAGCAAGCGTAATCTCAGGACTGTCAAAAGTAGAACATGTATGGCCTGGGGGTGAGAAATCTAAGATGTGTGAAACAAAAACCTAAGTGATGCACCATTCAAATGAATTCAGGTCTCCTGTGTCATGGGCCTTGCGAAGGGGAGACACAGTGACTTCCAAGGACACAGGAAAGTACCAGAATGGTTATCATCCTCATTTTTAAATTGGTGAAGTTGAACCTGCAAACTGCCTACTGAACTGTGCAAGGTGACCATTTACAGGATGGCCTGTAAGGGGTTTTTGGCCATACTGGAGCTTGAACTCAGGGCCTCTACTGCTTGAGCTACTCCACCAGCCCCAAGGGGCCTTCATTAGAATTGGGTTGAAATTCACTACAAACCACTTTTGCCTTTCTTTCTGAACAAGAAGGCAGCAGCCACAATGACATTTTTGGCAAGGGCCTTGGAATTCTGCTGTTATCTGTGAGAAAATTCAGGGCTGGTGGAGTAGCTCAAGTGGTAGATTGCCTGCCTAGCAAATGTGAGGCCTGGAACTCAAATTTCAGTACAGCACCCTCCGCCCCACCCCCTAAAAGAAAGAGAAAAATTTAGCCTAACACAAGGACAATTTAATTAGAAACTCACTGGATTATTGGGTATGTGCCAAACTTAAAGGAAACTTCTAGAGGTAAAGTCCATTGATTTTCTCCAGCCCAACATGATCTCAGGTGGAAAAACAATTAAAATGTTTGGTAATAATGATCTAAAAAAACCATGACAAGCTGGAGCAAATGGCAGGTTCTACAGTGACATTTAACAAGGCAAAAACACAAGATCTGCACTTGAGAGCAAAATACTAACTGCCCATATGCAGGATGAAGGGAAAAGGTGGCTAGATTTAGACTTGACAATGAGCTGCAGTCCTGGCATGACCTTTGGGTATCAAGCACAATCTGTGTGAACTCTAGTTCTTGTCCATGCAGTCAGTGAATACCTGGATGGAGTGCTCTGTACTCTGCCTAGCCCCGGGCTCTGGTTCATATTGGAAGAGAACAGCTGCCTAAGAAAAGAACAAAATGGGAATGGCTAAGGGGCTGTGGTCTATGGGCAGCATCCTAGCCTGAGGTCTTGTCTACCCATTAACTCTGGGACCTTTGACTTCTCTACCCTCTGTTTTCTAACCCATAATGAGAATAATGCTCACTTCACGTGGTTGTTTTGAGGATCAAAGCAGTTAATATACATAGAACAAATTTTGGCACATGAGTTAGTACACAGTAAGTTTTCAACAGATATTTGCTAATATTAACTGAATGATATGACAGTTGCCTTCACATATTTTAAGGGACCTTACATGGAACAGTAATTGCTGTGAAAAATCTGCAAAAGGCACATGGAGGCTGCCCAGTCTTCTCTGCAGTCTGTAGGTGGAAGTTGTGGTCCTATGTATAGTCACCTGGCAGGGACACTGAAGGTGAGTCAGGTGCCTGAGGGGGGAAGTAACTTTTAGGACTCAGTCTAAACTTTAGAATCTATCCTTCTAGTACTTGCTGTTTTAGATCCCCCCCAGTCTAGCGGTACAAGATAGTCATACCCACCACACTCTGAAACTGCCAGCAAAACCACTGAAGACTCTCACCAGCCCCAAGCCCCTCCCAGAATTCACGATTACACTCCAATGTAGGCAGGGAAGCAATGCTGATTGCCTTGAACTATGGTGTGTGACTAGTCAGATTTTTGTAAACAAACAAAGACAAATACAAAGGTACCCAGTGTCTTCTGCTCCTTCTATGAAACAAGGCAAATCTCAGCAAGACCCAAGATTTCCAGATTGGAGCCTCTTCTGAACATGATCCACTGCAACTAGTGAGCACATCAGACCCCGTCCAGGGCAGGATGGAGACACCACTGCAGAGCCATCTGTGCCTCCCCCCTCCCCCCCCCGCCCCGCCCCTCCTTCCAACTCCCCTGACAAGAACTAGGTGGTCATTCACCATATGGAAGACAGATGGCACCAGAAAACTCTGTGAATAAAACTTTTAATAATGTACAGCAGAAATCGGACAGGCTCATTCTTATATTAAAACAAAAGATTTTCTATATTACAATTTATTTACATTTGCATACTGAAGAGGTAAAGTGTCTAAGTGACTATTTTACAGTCCTTTCTAATAAAATGTACAAAAACAAACAGAAGTACCGAGAATGCCGTTCAGAAGCCTTAATGGCAACATCAGAACGGGCTTGGACTTGGTCTGTGAATCCAGAATCCAGAGGAGCAGGTAGCCCTATGGATCAGAGAAGCCTCAGGAAGCCAAAAACACAGCTTCAGTTCCTCCCAACTCTTGCTTGGTATTAAGAGTGGTGGGGGTAGGCATGGGAGTTTCCCAAAGACTGCTGTCTTCCCCAGAGGTGGAGGCGCTGGACTTTATGTGTGGTGAGGACAAAAGGCCCCCCACTAAAAGTGGGCCATTGGCTTGGGAATCACTGGGTGGACACATGTTGGCAGATCCCAGAGGCTAGTTTTGACCAGGGCAGAGGAGTCAGTTCCATCATCACCCATAACTGCCAAGGTTCTGTCGCAGGGCTTGCACATCAGTGGGAGGTCAGCAGGGGTGGGTAAAGAAGGTCCCCCTAATGACACAATTGGTACTCAAGGGAAATTAATTGGCGGCCAGTAAATTGGCCCAAAGGATTAGAAGAAGATCTCCTTTAATGCAAGAAGAGAAAAAATACAACAGGAAAATAAATAGAAAGGCCAGGGGCATGGGGAGACCGAGGGCAGGGGAGGGCTCTCCCTCCTCCCCAGGCTTTGGCAGGGAACTGCTGGGCTGGAAGCAGGGACGCTGTATGCTTAACATACCTCCCCAGGCAGAAAGGAGGCCCAGAATGAATGCAGTGCTTTGGGGGTCTCACCTGAGGTTCTAAACCTCACTGACCACCAGTGGTCTCTTTGCAAGGGGGAATACAGGAATCCTCTTTCCTCAGTGGTCTTATTTAAGAACAGTAATACCAGGCTCAAAAAGCTCTTAGAACCAACCATGAAAACATCTGGTCTCAAAGCAGGCACTCGACTGAGCTCCCTCTTCTGTACTCCAAGAGCAGCACCCAAGCCTGTCTAGTTCACCGAGGTATTCCCAGGCCTGGCCCGGCCCAGCCCAGCCCAGCAGGGCACCCAGCAGGCACTTGACCCACATTTGCTGAACAAACGCCTGGAGAGGGTGCAACCAGCTGGTCAATGGACAAAAGAGTAGAGTGCTCCTGGGATGGGGGTAGGGACAGAATCCAAGAGAGACCAAGCCCCCAGGGCAAAGAGGAAAGAAATCTCACTGCTGAGTGGGAACAGGCTCAGGTACAAAGACAAACATTTCCAGTGTGATTGAGCTATGTGCGTTTGATTGGAGCTTTTTTTTTGTGGGATTTTTAAAAAAGGGATTTCTTTAAAAACAAATAGATTGAGAGGTAATCATCACATAGAGATGGTTTTCCTTCTATGAAAACTTAACATTATTAAAAAAAAAGTTAAAATCCAGACCCTCCCAATAAAATAAAATAAAATAAAATAAATCAAACCACTCCAGTTAAAAGTTATGGCTTCAAAGTTATTATATACCTAAGATATGCTGACCAAATCACCACCCACAACCGTTCTTCTAGACTTCATTAAATACTATACTTAGGTTAAATAACATGTTCAGCTCAGGCTGTTCCCTTTAGTAGGGCCCCTGAAGTGGACGAAAATCTCTCTTCCCTCCACCCTGATCAGATAATCCAGTAAAAGAAGGCCCAAGCAGATGCCTCCCTCCCACCCGACACTCCCTCACCACTCCTTGCCCCACCCTTTCCTTCCCCACCCCAAACCCGCCACCACCAAAAATATACACTGCAGTCTGCAGGATCTGGGATAGGACAGACAGATGTGACATTCCTATCTCAGTCCCAAGATCTGGCTTCAGATTCCTTGGCCCTTCCTTGATGCTGACCACAACACCCAAGACTTCCGCCAAGATTTTTCCTGCCCATCCCTCTCCCCCTCACATTTTGACCCAAAAGCCTGTCCTGTCATGGACAGCTGGGCCAGCTTTGGTTCCAGTCTGAAATAAAGGAGGAGAGCCATGCTAACATGGGACGGGCAGAGCAGCCTGCTGGAAAGGGAGGACAACCGTGGCAGGGGATTGGGGGAAGGGGACCTCCAGGAAGGGCACCAGGGAAACTAGATGTTGCTCACTATGAACAGAGGCACCAGCACGCAGAGACGGCATCACAACCACACCCCTGGCCTGCACATGCACAGAAAGCTCAAGCAGGTAAGTGCGCACTTACAGACACACACATACACACACGTGTAAGGGCGTGGCACAGACCAGGCACAACGGGGACGCACCTCGGCACATGCACACACGGCTGGACAAACAGGCAGCAGGTGTCTCCACTGGCAGTCCCTCCAGACATCTGTGTGAGGAGGGGAGTGCGTGGCTCAGAGCTGCCTGTGAGAGGGGCTGTACTTCCGGTTCCCCTGGACACTTTGGCACACTGCCGGCTGGTCCCTGGAGGAAAACCCACAGTGCTGCTTAGCACTTGCCACATGTGGCTCCTTCTGGCCCCTCCCAGGCCATCCTTTCACCACTCCTGGCTATGTGTCAGATGCACCGGGTTTTGTGGACTTCCCACTGCAATCAGTTCAAGTTGTGGCATTGAGTTCACACAATTTGCTCTCAGAGTCTCCATGCCATCAGGAGGTAAGTATAAAAGGTGTCTGTGTCTCAAACCCAACATGGGAGTGAGCGAGTCTCCCGGGCTCTGTCCCTCTTGCAGACCAGGGCTCTGGTCACAGAGGGCTGGGCAGAAACGAGAGGTAGACCTCCACCGTACGTTCAACACAGCAGCTGTGTGTTGTCCTCGCTGCCCAGGTTGCGTGTAGCGGTCAGAAGCAGGTTAGATCTTCACATCTTCCTGCACGCTGAGCTGTGAGAGGGTCTTCTTGATGCGCAACGCAGTCAGGCGGGCTGCGCCATTGGCATACCAGCACTCTCGCATCATCTTCCCCATCACCCGTAAAGCCTGTTAAGAAGAGACCCAGAGCTGTCAACTTGACCTTGACCCAGAGAACTTTCAGGCCCTTAGGACCTGGCTAATTTCCCTGCTGCCTCCCATCAGTGTCAAGTTTGCCAGTCTTCCCCTGTAATCTCACCATAGAAATTCTTTGCAAGCTTTTCTCTCTCCAGCTCTTCTTTCCTTAAGGGACAGGTTGTGCAGGGGAAGGAAAAAGCCGCAGTAAAAGGCCAGCTCTTTCTGCCTTCCTCTCAAGTAAACCTAACTGGGATGTACCCAAAGAGTAACATTTTGGGAAATGCTGCCCTATTATGCAACAAGAAGCACCAGCAGAAATAGGAGCCCAGTAATTTTGTTTTTAGGTGCAGAGACACCCTCTAGTGGCTATACTCTTTAAAGGCTGAGCAGACCTCTAGGGGTTCCATTGTAGATGGTATGTCGGGGTGATCCAATGCACTGCATGGTGACCAGGGTTAACAATACTGTATCATGCACCTGAAATTTGCTAAAAAGAATAGACCATTTTGTTTTGTTTTGATTTTGTTTTTGAGATAGGCTCTGGCTATGTAGCCAAGCTGCCTCAAACTCACTATCTTCTGTCTTAGTCTCCCAAGTGCTGGGATTACAGGCATGCACCATCATCAGAGTGGAGAGAGTAGATTTTAAATGTTCTCACCACACATGCAAAAAGGCAACTTAGGTGGGGTGATAGATATAACTAACTTCACTACAGTAATTCTTTCACATTATATAAGAGTATCAAATTAGCATGTGTATACGTTAACTAGTTTCATTTGTAAATTCTACCTCAAATAAAGCTGGATACATAACATGAATAAGGAGAAAGAAAGCAGAGCCACACGTGAAAGTGCAGCCTCGTAGGCTCAACTAAGCATATCTATTCCTTTGAAGCTTCTAAGACCCCAGAGCCCCATGTTTGTTAGCAATCTATGTCTTAAAATTTTCCTCACTCCAACAATTTCCACCAAATACTGTCTCTACCCATTCCATCTGCTATATATAATAAATTCAAATTTTCCTTTTTGACCCTAACCCCTTCACAAGTCACCTTCCTTCTCAGTTTTTAGCAAGGCCACCTCCTCAGATACATACCTTCCTTCTGCTACACCCATCTACAAGCTTCTTGTATGATGGTTTGCTAACTATGGCTCCAGAGCCATTGTTCTAGTTTGGTAGATCTACAAGAAACCAATTTTTTTAATTTAAAAAATAATTAATTAATTAATCTGCCATACTAGGGATTAAATTCAGAGCCTTATATATGCTGGGCAAGTGCACTACCACTGAACTCTACCTGCAGCTCATTTGATATGTCTAACAGCTCCAGCTCACTTTGGGTTTCTGTCTCCTGTTGACCACCTCCATTACCTGGGCATGGGGAGGAACTATTTTTCTTCTAGACTGTCACCTCTGAAGGGTACCCTATAGTGACCAGGAGAAATGACTGTAGCAGAGGGATCAGCACATAGTAGCATATAATAGTACAAGTTGAGTATACCTTATCTGAAATGACTGGAACCAGAAGTGTAGATTTTGGATTTGTTCAGATTTGAGAATACTCACATATATATGAGAGATTTCTTGACAATGAGAACCAATCTAAACATGAAATTCATTTATGTTTCACATTTATCTTATTATGGCCTGAAGGTAACTTTATACACTATTTTTAGTATGCCTACATTTGATTTCAACCCATCATATAAGGTCAGGGTGACCAGTCACATTAGATCAGGTAAAAAGTTTTCCATTTGTAGCACCACGCTGGTGATCAAAAAGTTTTAGCCAGGTGCCGGTGGCTCATACCTGTAATCCTAGCAGAGATCAGGAGGATCAAGGTTCAAAGTCAGTCCTGGGCAAATAGTTCTCGAGATCCTATCTCAAAAAAAACCCTACACAAAATAGGGCTCAAGCTGAAGGCCCTCACTTCAAGCCCAGTACCACACACAAAAAAAAGTTTCAGATTTTGGATTTTCAGATAAGGAATGCAAGTCCTTACTATGGTACAGAAATAGAAGATGGGGAAAGTCACAGAAGGTGAGGAAATTTCTTACCTCATAACTCTGCCACCAGTTGGGGATGTTGGGGCGGAGCTTCTGGTCACAGACGACCTTTCGCATTTCCTCAATGGAAGGGTCAGAGGGCACTAAGTCGTAATATGGCAGCTGATAGTCTTCATGGACTCCTGGGAGAAAACAAAATATCTACCTGAGTTATTAACAGAAGAAAGTGAGAGATTACTCCAAAACTAATGACAACACCTACACTTTGATCCGTAAATGCTACTTCCCACTAAGATGAACTAAGGTTCCTTGGAGAAGGTTGTTGATTCTAGGCATGGAACCAGAAATACCCAACAAAACAAAGCAAAACCCACAAGAGTACCCAGAAGTATCTTTTTCATAACAAAAAGACATTGAAACTATTGAAGACTATTGGGACCACTTGAAAAATTCCCAAGTGGCCAAAGATAAGAACATTTAAATAATAAAATGACAATAAATTTGAGGGAAGTGAATATTTTTAAATCTATCAGTTCATAATACTTTTTTTTTTTTTTTTTGGTGATGCTGGGGCTTGAACTCAGAGCCTCCCCCTCAGACGTCACTTGAGTCACTCCACCAACCTTAAAAAGTTAGCTCTAAAAATCCAGTACACACAGGTTGGGCACTGGTGGTTCATACCTGTAATCCGAGCTACTTGGGAGGTTTGTGGTTTGAGCCCAGCCCAGACAAAAAGCTCTTAACACCCCATCTTCAAAACAACCAGAGCAAAACGGACTAGAGATGTAGTTCAAGCAGTAAGCACCTGCTTTGTGAGTGCCTGCTTTGCAGGCATAAAAGCCCTGAGTTTAAACCCTAGTCCCACCAAAAATAGAAAAAGAAAAAGAAAAAAAACCCTCACTTTCTCATGCTTTTTCCTAAAAACAAAATGAAACAAAAAACCCCAACCTATTGAGCCAATAGGAAACATTTTTAAACAGAGAGTTTGACTTAGTATGGGTAGTTTAGAGCTTAATTTCTGGCCTCAGTTTGCTGAAATTTGAATTCTAGTTTACCAGCCGCTGTGTAACCTTGCACAAATTACCTAATCTCTCTCTGTCTTAATTTCTTCATCTGTAAAATGATGGCAATAATACCAACCTTTATAAATTTGTACTGCAGATTAAATGAGTTTATACATAGCCAGTGGTAAATAAATGTTAGTATTACCACATACTTAACTCCAATTTCTGAATGTCATGAGAAAGAAGAACTTAAGAACACAGTTAAGATCTTTTGTGTCCAGATTTTTCTTAATCTGTTTTATTTTATCTGTATATACTGGTCAAAATTTAAGAGGATTGCCAGTGACTCACACCTGCAATCCTAGTTAATCTCTGCCTAGTTACTGAAATCCTAGGCAGAGATCAGGAGGATTGAGGTTTGAAGCCAGCCAGGAAAACAGTTCACGAGACCCTATCTTAAGGAAAAAAAAAAAAAATTAAGAATTGCAATTCCATGAATGATACCTAGCCACCTCCTCCTCCATTATTCGAATCCTATCACTCATCACAGATGGAAAAGTGCAGTAACCACTAGGGGCCACTGTCATCACAATTTACACAGGAAACAGAACTGCTGCTCCAGGCCAGGTAGGTTAAAAAAAGTTTGCAAGACCCCATCTCAACAAAAAAAGCTGGGTGTGGTGGCTTGTGCCTTCAAATAGAAGGATCATGGTCCAGGCTGTTCTGGACAAAAAAAAAAAAAAACAGGACCCTATCTTGAAAAGAACCAGAGCAAAATTGGCTAGAGGCATGGCTCAAGCAGTATGGTGACTAACAATCTCTAAGCCCTGAGTTCAAATCCTAATAAAGACCCCTCCCAAAAAGGCTAAAGGTAGAGTTCTACAAATTTTTGAATTTGATCGTGATTTGGAGGTCTTCACAAGCACTTTTGTTAAGTACATGCTCTACCACATGAGCCACTCTGCCAGCCCCATTTTGTATTGGGTATTTTTGAGATAGGGTCTCATGAACTATTTGCCTGGGGCTGGCTTTAAACAGAATCCTCCTGATCTCTGCCTCCGGAGTAGCTAGGATTACAGGTAAGCCACCAGCATCTGGCTCAATTTAAGCTGATAAACTAATGATAATAAGTGTTTTCCACTATATCAGATGCTATCTTTCACTGGATTCGGGTAAGAATACGCAACCACAAATACCAAAGATTTCTTGTTTTGGGGCTAGGGGAGTGGCTCAAGTAGTGGAGTACCTGCCGAGCAAGTATGAGGCCCTGAGTTCAAAACTGCAAAAAGAAAAAAAAAAAAAAGCTTCCTTTTAAGATAGGGTCTTATTCAAGGGCCCAGACTGGCCTTGAATTCACAATCCTCCTGCCTTAGCCATGAGAGTGCTGGGATTACAGGCGTGTACCACTACATCTTTCTTTTTAATAATGGGAGAAAAAAACTCATTTTGAGAAAATTCTATGTGCTCCTACACATTTAGAAATTACCACTATTAGTGCAGTGATGACACGAGGGTTCCTCCAGAAACATAGCCCGAGAGTCATAGTATCAGGACATGCCACCTCTGATACAAGACATCCCTGAGTTAACCCTGAGCTATCCATACCCAGGAAGGTCCCCATCTCTATGGGCTAGTAATAAGACTATATGGTTTTCTGTGTTGTGATTTTGGTGGTACTGGGATCTGAACTTAGGGCTTCATACTTGCAAAGCAGGTGTTCTACCACTTGAGCCACACCTCCAGTCCACTTTACTTTGGATATTTTGGAGATGGGGACCTCATGACCTATTTGCCTGGGCTGGCCTCAAACTATAATCCTCCTGATCTCAGCCTCCCACATTGCTAGGATTACAGACATGAGCCACCAGCATCTGGCTAAGACATTGTGTTTTTACAAATAACCAAATAAGCCTCCAGAATGAAGATCACAAAGTAAAACTCAAGAGTCACCACACCCTTACATATACACAATGGAGTATTACTCAGCCACAAGGAATAATGACATGGGACTTAAAGGTAAATGGATGCAATTGGAGGACATCATGCTAAGTGAAGCTAGCCAGGATCAGAAACACAAAAGACACATGTTTTCCCTCATTCAGGGGGATAGATCCAAAGATAAACATATATATAAAACCAAGCATGATCATATACAAACTCAGATGTAGAACAGTTTGTAACAGTGGATCTACTCTATGGAACTCGTGGAAAGAGGGAAAGGAAAAGAATAATAGAGCATCAGTAATATTGCATACCATAAGATGTGAAGGTAGAGGATACAAGGATGTGTATTGAAAGCTATTGAAAGACGGGGTCGGGGGTCGGGAGGTAAAGGGGTAAGAGAGAGCAATTGAAGGGACTGAACAAACCAAAGTAAAGCACACCCACAGAGGGCATAAACTGAGACACCCCTTTGAATATCAACTTTTAAATATTAATAACAAAAATCAAGACTGAAAAGTAGACATAGTGTGTGTGGAGGGTTGGGGGAGTTACTAGTGGGAGGGGGAAGGTGAAGGAAGGAGATTAAGGTGATGGTATATGGTTGATGGACTTCAAATACCTATATGAAACAGAACTAAATAACCTCTTGCAATTGCTTTAAGTGGGGTGGGGAGGGGCTGAGGGGGACAGACGAAGGGGCAATGTAACTAATGTACAATAGAAGTCTAATTGGAACTGTCACTACGAATCCCCCTGTGTAATGAGTATTTCCTAATAAAAAATTATGATAAAAAAAGAGTCATCACACCCTTAGCCCAGCTGCCTACAGGTGTGATGATCCTTGACGAGACAGGTGTGGCTCAGGTCCTAGCACTAGACACTTCAATGCTTGTAGAGAAAGGGGCAGAAAAAGAAAGGTACCTCCAGAATTGCATCTTCTTGCGATCTCCCAGTACACCAGGCCAAGGGCGTAGATGTCAGCGCATTTAAAGGAGTCGAAGTGCTTCATGTTAATGGTTTCATCGAGCACTTCAGGAGCCATGTACCTGCAACAGCAGGAGAAGCACATTATGCACAGAACATGACGGCTGCTCTCTTAAACAAAGCACTGGCTGCCAGAGTGACTCGCGTGGTGGCAAGCCTGAGGCCCTGATTTCAAAACCTAGTATCTCTCAGGGAGAAGTGAGCACTTGTCTTCTTTGCGCATCCCATGTTTTAGATTCAAATCTCAACATTTCAGTACAGATTTGGCAATACTAGGCTACTCTTAGGTGTACTTCTTTTTAAATTTTTTTTTTTTAGTCTATTTCTTTTTAAATTTATTTTTTTTTGGAGATAAGATCTTGCTATGTAACTTGTGATTCTCCTGCCTCAGCCTCCCAGGTGCTGAGATTATAGGTGTGTATCACTAAGCACAACTCTCCATTTTTAACCATCAAGATTTGTTTTTTGTTTTGTTTTGTTTTGTTTTGTGGTGCTGGGGTCTGAACTCAGGGCCTCACACTTGCACCTTGAGTTCAAACCCCAGTACTGCCAAAAACAAATAAATAATTTGTTTACTGAAGTTTGGTTTGACTCCATGGCAGACCATGTGGGTGTTAAAGAGCATAGTGGCTGGTTACTACCAGTTTCACTTTATTAAAGATAGCCACAGGGATGGACTGAGTTTAAATTTTATTCTAGACTTCTTTTGTTATTTTATCTGATTGTAAATAAGAGAAAATTAATTCTAGAGGTGATCAAAGTTGTGAGTTTGAGTAGTAATTATGAGTAATTTCTGCAACTCAAGCCACCCTACCTCTCACAATAAATTCAGGCCCCATACTTTGGGGCCTAAGTAGCTGCATCATTCAGGCCAAAGGACAAAAACGAGCAGCACACTTAATGATATACACTTTGACTCAACACATAGACCACATTCTCCCACCCATACAAGGCAGCCCTACTCCCACCTCAGGAAGCTAGCCTTGAGGCCTTCACTTTTCAATAATGGGAAGCAGGCCCATAATTCCTAAGGGCTCCCTACTCTCCATCTTAGATTACCTCTGCTCCAGCTTGGCAAACCTGCTCTCTAAGCCTCACGCAGAAAGCACTCCCTGCCTCCTCTTGGGTCTCTGCACAAGCTACCTTTAGACTGCAATATTTCCCCTCTCCCAATAGCCATGCCTACCCATCTCCCAAATCCTGCTTTGTATTCTTCCTCCACTGCCTACACCCCCAATACCACCAACCCTGGTATATACAGTTCTATGAAGCTGTGCTCCTGTCACCTGTTCTGTTACATGCAACTGTATGGCTTTCCAGTGTGTGGGGTAGATGTTTGATTCAATATTCAGCTACTTGAAAGCAAGGGTCACCCCTCCTTCTTCTGCATTTCCTCCTGTGTGCATGGAAAGGGCACACATTGGACAGTCAGGGTAAGCTGTGAGGGCAGAAATCCAGTGGCTTCTTACCTTTTTGTTCCCACCCTCTGATTTGGGGCAATGTCAATGGTGTCAGTGACTGCATCATGACGGACCGCCAGGCCCAGGTCTGCGATGGCACACATGCCATTTTTCTTCACTAGGATGTTCTTTGACTTTAAGTCTCGATGAGCAATTCCAGGCTTCCCTGGTAGAAACAAAATCAGGGATTTTTAAGGATGGTATGTGTTAAATGCAGATTCTGCAGCCAGGCTGTGGACTTGAGTCCCGGTGTTGCCTCCCACAACCCATTGATCCCATGGGTAGCTCAGTCTTCTCGTCCACACCATCAGAGCGAGAATACTTCCTTCCCCAGAATGTGCTGAGTAAAAGGAAAGGCCTATAGAGGAGGTGTCTATTAGCTAACACAGTGATTAACACTACAACCCTGAACAGCTGAGGTGGAGAACTGCTGAGGACCTCAGAGAAGCTCAAAATCAAACAGGCCTGAAGATGGGACTGCTGAGACCAGCACAGAGGCCAAGAACAGGACCCAGCTGTCACAGTGGTTTCCTACCATGCCCAACAAGAGCTTCTGCCCAGGCCACTCAGGCATCAGGGATCACACCTGCCACTGGGGCAAGACCAGGATCTTCCAGAGCTGACATTATAGTCAACAAGCAAGCAACAAGGCTCCAGATCTTTTCCCTTTAGGGAAAACTAGTCCCAGTGTCTCACGAGCACATAGTCTGCAAGCGAGCATCCCCAACACCCAAGATGTAAAATTACTAAAGTAGAGCCAGGGATGGTGGTGCCTACCTGCAATGTCAGCTACACAAGAGGTAGAGATGGCTGGGCAAAAAGTAAAGTTTAGTGAGGCCCAATCTCAAAACCCAGCTGGGAGGAGCAGTACACTTCTGTAATCCCAGCTACATGGAAGGCAGAGGTGGGAGGATAGAGGTTCAAGGATAGACCATGTCAAAAACTGGAGACCCTATCTGAAAAATAACCTAAAAGCAAAAGGTCTGGGGGCATAGCTGAAGTGACATGGCAGAGCACCTGCCAGGCAAGTGCAAGATCCTGAGTCCAATCCCCAGTACTGAAAAGAGAGAGAGAGGGAAAGGAAGAGACACAAAGAAGGAAAGAGGGGGAGAGAGAAGGAGAGAGAGGAAGAGACAGAGAAAGAAAGAAATTACTGAGGTGACACTCCTAGTATACTGTTTTTCTCTTTTTAGTTTCATTCTCTTCCATGCACACTGGGCATCTGAGGTGATTAGTGTATAGAAAATAACCATGCCACACCACTGACTTATTGAACACTGCTGCTACAGACTTCCTTCATAGAGTTCTAAAGACAGTGGTCAGGAAAGCACTCTGTTCAGCTTTTGTTCCCACTCAAATGAAAGTCAAAGTCTGTCCCCGAAATTACAGCCCCAGAGACCCAGCCCCAAGTTTCTCAGTAAAAGGAAGCTCTAGCAATCAAATCAGGATTGACAGGTTTTACGTCCACCCAATCTCCCCATTCTTTGGCTGGTCCACTCACCTTGAGTGCCCACGATCTCCATGTGCAAGTGTGCCAGCCCACTGGCTGCAGACAGGGCCAGCTTAATCATACCCTCAATGGTTACTGTGTAGCGGTTCAGATAATCAAACAGGGAGCCATGCTCATGATAGTCAGAGACAAGCCATAGCTGTGTCCAGGTGCCATTATCTGTAGAGAACACAGATGCATTCTGGAACAAACGGAACTATCAGCAACAAGGAAGAATGTGTACAACCTGAGATCCAGCTGGACCCTGAATTTACATTTCCTGCCTCCATACTCATTGGTGCCCCCTCAGCCCTGCTCATCCACAGTGGCTTACAGTCCTGGCTCCTGTGAGGACAGAGGCACAGCACTTCGTTCATAGGCCCCTTATTCCTTTTGGGTGGGCTGTAGGATTCTGAACAGCAGTCCATTTTTCTGCCAAAAGTGAAACATGAGGTATCCAGGAAAGAGAAGGCGTTTGCTTAGGAAAAGCACTACACTCTCCACTCATCAGTTTTCTTGCAATGCCACTTTTGATCCTGAGGATACTCACTCATCTGTGTTGGAATCACAGTGGGCAGCACCCACCATGGGCAAAGAGGCAAGCCTTGAAGGTCCTTCTCTGTGATCTTGTGACCCTCTGAACACAACCCAACCACAACACCTATCTCCCTTGTAATGCTTCTTTTCACTCAATTGTTCTCATAAGGCCAAGAGTACTGTGTGAGAGCAGGAAAGATCTCCTTTATGCATTATTGTGTTCCTGACCAAAAAATGCTCTTCAATTCATGAATAGTTCACTTCCAAGTGTTCCCACAGAGGCCATCTTGCTCTTTGGAAGAGCAATGGAAGGAGGGTAGAGGCACATTTTCTCTCTCTCATATGTGGGGCAGTGGGAAGGTAGAGGGGAGAGAAAGGGATGGTGACATGCAGAAAAAAGAAACACCCAAAGTCAGTAATGTAATTAAGCTATGCTGCTGTCACAAGGAAGCCTGGAAATTGGATTAAGAACTCCCAAATTTCAGGCTGGCACTAGTTCCAGGGCACCACACTAAATATATCATGGTTAGGCAAGAACAAAGGAGTCCAATTTTTCTCCTTCCCTGGCCCCCATGTGGGTTTCAACAGCCAGATCCCTACTCACACAAGCTGCCAGAACCAATAAAGGGAGTGGCTGTTGGAAAAGCCCAAGCCTTGGCTTCTCTGATCACAAACAAGAGGCCTATCCAACACACAGCATCTTGCACACTCACCAGATACCAGGTCCCAAAGACCCTGCTAATAAGTTAAAGGCAGGCATATTTTCATCTTTGACATGTATGTATGATGCAAATTTTATAAAAAGGTGATACTGTTTTAAAGAAGAGTTTACTCAGAGGGTGTGAAGCACTCTCTCTTCCACTTTCTTCCCTGTTATGCAAGTCCAAGACTCTTCAGCTTAGGGGCCATCACCAGCTCCCACAATATGAAGAATGAGCAATGTGAGATATACTTAGCATCTTCTGCAGGCTTTACAGACACTAACTTCTAAACCACTGTGCCACGGACCAAGCTGGGTCACAACTACCACAGAACGTTCTAGAATGTGACCCCAATTCTCTCAGGGTCCTCTTTGCACTACAAGTGTACTACCTGCCAGGTATTACTCCTCCTTCCTCCTGGCAGCTCTATAAGAAAAAGAACTATGTCTTATTTTTATGTGTAATAATCCAAACAGCTGGCAGAGGTCCTGACTCAAAGTGGCCAATAAATGCTATTACTTTAATGAATGAAATTCTACTTAGTACCCATCTTCAGAGTAAAATACAATCCTTTTGAAAACCACTCCACTTGTTTTTATGCAGCAACACAGCAATTCCAAATTACCTGCAGGACTTTGGGACCTGAGGGACCCAAACACACTCTACTTTTACACATGTCTGAAGGGCCCTGTCCACTGTTTATTTTTATTTATTTATTTATTTTTGGAGGGAGGAGACAGTACTGGGGTTTGAACTCAGAGCTTCATGCTTGTGAAGAAGGCACACTCCCACTTGAGCCACTCCACCATCACCCCACTAGTTTTTCTTCCAAAACAATTCTTGTCACCTTTGTCTCAATCCAGGGGAAAATAAGCAAACAAAACAAAACAAAACAAAAAACCAACAAAGCTCAGGTGTGATTCACCTCCAATTTGCACTCACTAGAATAGCTATGCTTGCCTCCTATAATCAATTGTAAAGTTTACCATCAGTGAGGTCCTCAAAAATAAGGACATGCCTAGCAACAAGCAAGAGATGCAAAACTAAAAGCTAAAGCAAGAAAACTAAGAAAGAAGGGAGAGGAGGGAGACATAAAGAACCACAGGTACAGACAAGACCAAAAACTGAGTCTCATGGCTGGCTACAAGGTGACACTCTGGGGACAGGCAGGTCTTTGATCTTCTGTGGCTGCTACACTTCACATGCATCTAAAGCTGGTCATGTCACAGTACATGGACTGTATGCTTTTCTGTGGTTAAACTTTCCAGGCAAGGGTGAGAGCCACAATTCTTCATTCTAGCCATTTTCAAAATCAACTTGCTGGAGCCCCTAAAGGAACTACACTGGGGTGGATTTGACAGACTCAAACCAAGTGAGTGGGGCAAGGACATCTCGCTTAAGCTTATCTGCTTAATAACCTTGGTTTCTGTGTAAGCTCTTCTGGCACAAAAGGTTTCACATCTTAAGAAGCATTTAAAAACTATGAGCTCATTCAGAGTTTACTTTCTATGGAACCAGAGCTGTACGTCCTATCGCATTTTAATTTCTCCAGTCACCCCTCTATCTGAGAATGCCAATGGCCTTGGGACACCCCATATCCCAACTCGGTCCTTTACCTTTATTATCGGCAGCAATAAATCCAAGGATGTTTTCATGGCGTAGCATAACTGTCTGATATATCTCTGCTTCCCGAAACCAGGATCGTTCCTCACGAGAAGAGAAAATTTTCACAGCCACATCACCTCCCCTCCAGCGGCCACGCCACACTTCCCCAAACCGGCCCTTGCCAATAATCTCCTGTAAAACGATAGTTCGGGCCACTGTGCGCTGGACAAAAAGGGGTAACCCTGTGGGCCAAAGAATGGAAAGAAATCTGGCATTACGAATGTACTAAATCTTAGAACTCCCACACTCACTGCCACACTGGAAAAGCCCTCAACACAATGTCTTCATTCTACATTAACCATGGAGAGCTGTACCACTTCTAGGGGGTCTATCAGCAGACTAAGCCAGGTGGTGATTGGGAGGAAATAAACACAGAAGAAAAATGCATAGGATTAGCTGCTTCTTAGCCAAGCAGTTTCTCCTCCAGTTAATAGGGATGACAGATTTGGATGTAAATGTTTGACCAGATTTACCAACTCTGCAACCAGTCACTTGTGGACCAACCCACCAACATCTGCTTTATTTTGATAGAAAAAGAAAGAGGGCAGACAAGAGGAAATGGGGGCTTTAGTACTGGGAGCCACCTTCTGGCTGCTCTTCTCATTAGCCACTAGAGGGCAGTGCCGTGAGGCCCATGAAAGCTGACCCATGGTCAGGGCACGCAGGATTCCAGTTCTCTCCAGAAATCAAAGCTCTGCTCATAAGCAGACCTCCAGGTGCAGAGTAAGGACTATCCATACTAATTCTAAGATTCATTTTACTGTATATGTAGGCTCATTACTGATTTGTTTGACTCATTCAGTATCCCCCATCGATCCAGTCACCCTTACCATCATGACTGATTCTTAACCTCTTCCACTCCATTCCCAAGCCAAATAACAACTGCTATAAATTCCTAGGTTTGGTGGATGTGAGCTACTACTTACTGTGTGCAATGCATAAGCTCTATGCTATGGGCTTTACATACATTTTCTCATTTCCTCACAGCTACCTACCTGTAAGGTAAGTATTCCTAGTTTACACAAGAAAAAAATAGTAAGGCACAAAAAGGAACATTATATAACTCACTCAAACTCACACAAGCATTAAAGAAGGCAGTGATTAAAATCTAGGACTCCATAGTCCATGCTTTTAACTACACAGTACAGAATCACCAAGATGTTTCTCAAATTAGACCCCTCCTTCCTCTCCATCCCTATGCCCCTGACCTACTCTGCCTCACTTCACCCTGTTCTTGCCCTACACACCCACTCACAGCCCTGCCTCACCCCACTGTTCCTAACAGGAGGCTGGTAAATGAATGAATTCAGCCTTCGCAGCACTGCCAGAATTCCTTCCAAAGGAAAAAATGAGCATGCATGTTCCCACGTGAAAGCCTCTTACCTATAAAACAAAGTACATACCACAAGGCCTTTTCCACCTGGGCCAATCTATCTTTCCCCACCCCCTAGCACAGGCACACCACCTGTTTCCCTTATCATTAAATCCTTAAGCATACCATGACCTTCATCCCTTTTTTTCCTTTCATTCAAGGTGTTTTCTGGGCTGGAGGTGTGTCTCAAAGTGATAGAGTACCTGCCCAACAAGTGCAAAGCCCTGAGTTCAAACATCAATGTTTGAAAAAGTGTTTTCAGTGGCCCAGAATGTTCTCTCAGACCTCTTAGAAAATCTAACTCATTCTTCAACACTCCCTCAAAATCATCCTCTTCTGTAAAACTTTATTCAACAAATCCCAGTCTCTTCAATTCAATCCTGGGTGGACCTCTTTTCAATCTTTGTTCCCTGAGGGTATTCAGCATATACTTGTTAAAATGAATTGGAAGTCACCTAAGCACCATGGACTTATTACTTTAAAAACCACATTATTAAAAGCTCTGCACCTTGGAGGCTCTGTACATTCTGCACTGAGAGAAATAGTCATTAATCATTTTACTCCGGACAACTAGCTAACCACTATGCCTTCCCAGCCTCAGCTGGTCCTGGCCATGAAAAGCCTCTGGACATTCAAGTCCTCTCTTCCTGCAACCAATCAAGACAGAATCAGCCAGGCACTTCTAACCACTGCCCTATCTATGTCGACAAAGAACAAGCCATATATTTTCTGTTTCTAAAAATATGCAGCTCTTAAATATATTCATCATTTTGGTGCTCTCTACTGCCGAGCTTAATAAAGGCAAAACCACTGACATTCAGGAGATGTCACACTTCACAGTATTCCCTGTGTTCAAGGAAGACTGTCTGGCCCTGACTGATGACACAACTGCCCTCCAGAACAACAGTCTGTCCCAGGGTAAGGAAACACACAAGAGTCTCCAAGTAAGACCTGTGTGATCAGAAGGGCAACTCACTGATCACTGATCTCTGTGGATTTCTTCTTTTATAATAATGGAATGCCACTGTTACTAAAATAATTATCTTCATTAAAAACAAAACCCAAAAAACTCTTTTGCAATCATGTTCATGTCTAATAGCTAGGTCCCTGAGACCTGAGCAACCCAAACAATCATGCCAAGGCCCGGTGTTGGGTTCAATGCCCTCATCTAAGAAAGACTTGGACAACAGGCACTGCAGGAAATGGAGCCCATGCTAAGCTGGAAGCTCCCACTGCCTTTACGAGAACCCCCACCAAAAAAGCCCCTGGGCAATGGTACAAGTCAATGATTCACCAAATCCTAACTCTAAGCTTTACTCAATGTCCTTAAACTCCCCTTGTGGCTGCCCAGAGATCAATGATTAGCTGTCAGCACCTCACAGGAATCTGGCACACTCCTGTTTCTCAAAAGGGGCCCTTAAATTGAGCACTCCACTGCTCAGGTGGAACCAGCTAAATTTTCATAGACATACAGCTACGAGAGTTGCAGAGAACCAGGGTTTCTGCAATGGAGAGTTTTGCAGTTGACCTTTGGAATCCCAAGGAATGAAAGATTTTCTGTGAAGCCATTATCATATCTTATTACACGTCAGGCTCCAAAAAGAAGGGAAATTATGAAACCAAATGACTCAATGCTGGTAGAAACAAATGCAGGCCCCCCTGTCTTCCTCATAAACACTCTCTCCTGCTGGGAAACAGTCAGGAGGGCCAACAGACACAACGCCTGGAGAACTCAGTACCTGAGCCAGACCCTGACGTGGAGAGATCGTAGACAAGATCCTGGAGCGTCTTGTCTTTGGAGAGACACATCTCACAGGAAGGATCTTCCATGTCCAGTCTCTGGCGGTTGTGATAGACACGCTGATGATAGTTAATGACAAGGAAGACAATGATGATGATGAGGAACAGGAGGAAGACTGGGCCGGCAATGATGCCTACCAGCTCCACAGGGCCCCACATGGAAGGGTGCTCAGGCTCCTTGAGGTGACCTGGGTCAAATGGGAGAGGAGAATAAGGAACACAAGAGTAAAAACAAGGGAACATTATGGACTTACTCATCCCCAACACTACCTCCACATGAAAAACACCCCTTCCCCCTCAGTTTCAAATTCTCTGATCTCTCTGGTCTTACAGGGCTGGCCTATCTGCCTAGATGCTCTCAAACACCTCCTTAGTTGAAGCAGCCCTCCAACAGTCACCAAACCCACTTTGGAAATTCACAGCATGTCAGGGTCCTGTCTCAGCCCACAGATAGATGCCAGCTTCTATTCTTCTCTATGCTCTGCTCTAGATTGCCTCCAGCACTTTCCAAGTGGCAGACCTGCACAGGATGGTATCTAGTACTTCTCCACTGTGATAACCACCCCTTTCTAACTTCAGGCCTTCTTCACACCTGACCACTCCCTCCTCAGAGCAGCCTCCTCATGTGGCTATGGCACCATATCCTTCTAGATCGGTTCCCCACCCTCCACGTGGATCCCTGCCTAGCTATGCCACCAATGGCTACATGCCCACTACTCAAAACACAGCTAGCACCTCTGGGACTAACTTGAACACCTGCCTCTCTCATCTTCTAATCTACAAACCTGACTTGGGGGCACCCAAAAGGTACCTTCACCTATCATTGAGCCAAGGGGTTGGAGAAGACAGGGAAGGACAAAAGGATGGAGTACCCTACTTGCAAAGTGAGCCAATAGTCCAACAAGGGTGTCTACTCACCACTGGGCACCCTGAGGTCAATCTTGTTGCAGAAGTCAGAATAGCAGCAGTGGGTGTTGCGAAGATCCTCTGAGCTCAGACAGTAGAAGGGCTTCCCGGCAGGGACCAGCTCCACTTTGGGGATGCAGGTGCGCACATGATGCTCCATCCCATCTAGGTTGAAGATGGAAACCATGCAGGCCCCATCTGTCTCACATGTGTAGTTGGCCTGCAGGCAGCTGGTGCATGCACACAGCAGAGCTGCAGGAAATTTAGGAGAATGGTAAATCTTTTCCGGGTCCTTTTCCAGATTTAGCATATAATCCCTTCGCATATTTCATGGTCCAAACTAAGGAGCTTTTATAGAGATGGGCTAGAAAGCTATCCTCAACTGAGCACAACCCTTTCACTTGCTCATGCAGGTCACAAAACAGCTTTATAGGCCCTACAGCTCCTCTCAGTGTTGTTCCATGCCTGTGAGAGATGGGGGAACCACCTTTCCCTTCTACCTGAGATACTTGCTGGGAAGATGGCCTCTTCCCTTTGGAGAATAGAGGGCACCCTCCCACATACATTCCATGCATCGCCCCACCCTCTCTCTCCAGCACAAGGCATGCCCGGTTTCCCAAATATGACATATAAGCTCTCATATATTCTTTTGCTGCAATGTGTTTTTCCTAATTTTTATAAATGCTTCAAATTTCTGCTCAAACATCCCTTTCTCTGAAAAGTTTCCCCTGCCCACTCCATTATTATCTTCTTGCTTTAGTCATATTAGGTGACCTTCTTACAAGGGTCAAAAAGATTGTCATCCAAAGAGAATTTTAGTGTCTACCTCATAAAGTTGGTTAAATGAGATAATAGATAAAAAGTGCTCAGTAGGTCTGGAGGAGTGGCTCAAGCAGTAGAGCACCTGTGAAGCAAGTGTGAAGCCCTGAGTTTAAACCCCAGTACTGCCACAAAAAAAAAAGCTCCATAAATTTAACCCATTCTGAAAGGCCCCCAGATAACACTTCAACTCATACACATACATACACACAGAAGTTTTTCTAATAGGCAGTATATACAATAAATACCCTCTGGGACTCATGAGTTTTGCTGGGTATGTATCATACATAAGTGTATGCCACTGACAGGAAATTACTGTAAATGAATTTGGCGCCTCTGAAAGCTATTCAGCAGCCCTGGAATCTGCAATCCTTTATTTATCTGACTAACAAGAATAGCACAGACAGCAGCAGTTGGTTCTCTCCAACACTGTCTCCCACGAGCCTAACCTAGCCCTGACCTCTTGGGATGGGCAGAAATGTCGCTTTGGCCACGAGAACACTGAGGCTGAGACTGCAGCACTGAAGAAGGCACTCAAGCCGTCGGGAGACAGAGAGGATGGATGCAAATCCCATGTGCCACTCTCAGGGCTGTCTGGGACCCAGGAGAAAGACACGCACACTAAGGCTCCACAGCAGACCCCTGTGACCAGTCCCATGAAAAGCCACCCTGTCCTAACTCCCCTCTTTAGCTGGGGACATAATTAAAATGGTAGAGCACTTATTTAGCAAACATGAGGCTCTGGGTTCAATCCCCAGTACACCAGAAAACAGAAACGAAGTTTATCTTCTTATCTCCCACTACTCTGCAAGACCTCTTGGTTTTTCAAATCCACCGATTCTAAATATTCAGAATCCAACCCTTCCTGCCCCAGGCTATCTATAAATGAGAGAATTCCTTGCTCTTCTCACCCAAGAAAAGAACTGGCAGCCAGACAGTGTAGACCTTCATGGCAGACCTTCACTATGAAGCCTGTCATGTGTTTTTCACAGCATTTGATCAGATCCCTATCTTCTGAAAGAAATTCCAAAACATGTAGCTACCTGTTGAGGAGTCTGGGTAGTTATTTCTTAAAGGCATACAGTTTAAAGTAGGTCTTCGTGAGAGCGGGAGTCAAATCATAACAGGAATTTTAAAAGCAAGTTTCACTTGAGCTTTAATTCTAACTTGTAATCTCAAGAAAGACTAAGGAGCCGTCTCACTTTTCCTCCCAAATACCTGGATTTGCTTTCTCCCTATCCTTCTTGCAAACTTAATCTTATGCAAGTCTCAGAATACTTGGTCTGACCCTCTTTTAGTCCCACTAGAATTCTGTTAATCCAAAAAAGCTCATTCCCTTTTGTGTCCCTTAGGCATGAAGGGGTTCCCTGTGGAGAACACACCTCTCAGTACATGTGTTGTGACGTGCAGCAGAGAACAGCACTGAGTCTATTTTGGGAAGCAAGAAAGGGAAAATTAACAACTTCGAGAGGACTATTCTGAGCATGGTGAGACACACAAGGCCAAACCCACAGTGGCCTTTTTTAAAAGCACTCACTTCAGAGTCCATCAATTGGTGGGGCAGAGCAGTCAGGAGTCTCTTTGACTCCAGATATTTATTCTTCTTTCGTTGGTGCATGGCCTCCTTCACAGTGATTCATCCGAGAGAATGAACACACCCACACGTGGCTCATTATTTTTGGGAAGTACTTAAACAATCTTGGCGTAAGACAGGAAAGAGCAAAAGTGGTGAAATCCATGCTAGAAGGGACAAAAAACAAGCTGGGAGCTGGGCCATGTGGGTTTCTGATAAGAAACTGGGAGAGTCCCTGAGTCTATCTGGGCCTCAACTACCCACCCAGAAAACACCACGTATCATACAGAGATGTTGGGAGATCAGCCAAAAACGTCTGCTAAGTGCTGTGGCTACCCGGGAAAAGGCTCACTGCAACCTCATCTGTGTATATCTATACATTTCAAAGAGTGAGCAAGAAGTCTAAACAGGCACATTTTTAAGATAGCCATCACTACTGCCCACGCCCCCGAAAAGGTCTGAATTACGTCACTAGGAGCCACAGTGGGTATCATGAAGCAAAAGGTCAGAAAGACCTAAAGCTCAAATGCTAGCTCTACTATTAATCACATCACCTTGAGCAAGTTATCAACCTCATTATACGTTTCCACTGTGCTCAATCTGTAAAGTGGGGCTGTTAATAACTGGTTCACAAGACTATAGAAAGAATTATATGAAAAACATATTTTAAAAGTACCTAACAAATTGTAGGTGCTCAATAAATATGAACACTCCTTTTAATGTAAAACCTAAAAAATAAAAAAAAAATTTAAACCACACAAGTAAAAATGTCTGTCTTGAACCACTAATTAGGAAGTGGCAAGTTACAGCAAGGTCTTAACAAGAATCTGCCATTCCAGTCTCAGCTCTGCCAGTAAGTAGTCGCATGGCTTTGAGCAAGTCATTTAACCTCTCTGAACCTCATTTTCCTCATGATTAACCAGAAAAAGGGGACTGAACTGGATGACCTCTAGAATCCTTTCCAGCTGTAAGTTTGAATCTAGTTTTGTTTTTCAATTGACACTGTGTGGATCATTGATGCAACACTGGACAAGTCTGCTTTGCTTTTCCTAAATGTCTCTCAAAGACAGACATTTTGGCTAGTCTTCTGCTATATTGATTTGCCACTGAAACAAAATAAGTGAATAAAATTATGAACAGACCTGAAGTTACTGTAAATTTAGCACACTAAATCACAAACCTAAATTTAATTCTCTTTGAAAAGCTAAATCTGGACTAATGACAACAGCCCCTTGTAATGTTTCATGGTGACTCACCAGGTTAAAGCCTGCACATGTGTATATAAACAATACGTACCTAAAACTCCCCTGTTCCACAACCAAACCATTATATACTAGAAATGACACAACTTGGAAAACCAAATCACTCTACACATAAACAAGTGAGAAAGTGGTCAGAACAAGAAGAGCCCCACTAGCACAGCAGACTTCTGTTAATAAAAAGTTTGATAGTCAAACTTGAACTAAAGACAAAGCTGTCTTTGCAGAGTTTGAACTTGGTTCAAAGTATGATTGGAAGGTGGTTTGTGGTAGGATGTAAATGCAAATTTGATTCATGAGAGCGAAGCTGTGTTTTGAGAAAGACCAACAAGTCCCAACTTGGGTAGACTGTGGCTGCTGAGAATTAAGAAGGCACTGTACACAGCAGGGGCTCAGAAAGGAAAGGGCACTCATGAGTCTTAGGGCTCAGCAGGGAGGTCCCAGGAACCACCTTATCAACCTCATTATACCAGCTTCCATGGGGGGTTAGACTCATAGCCACTCAGGCCAGTGTTCTACTCAAAGGACATCACCAAGGGACAGGCATTGGGAGGGCAGCATGATGGTAGCAGCCTCAAAAGGTAAGAAGCACACCACGAAGCAGCCAAGTGCATCCAGTAATCAGTCCATGAATATATCTAAAACTATTTAAGAGCTACAGTGCTTATGATTTTTAACTTACTAATTACTCCTTAGAGATAATAAATTTCATAAACTGATGCAGGTTGCGGACCAGTGTCCGGTGTAGGTACACTAAATCTGCATCTTTCAAATCTCATGGGGCAACCTTCTAGTTCTAGCATATCCATTAGCTTGTGCTGTGTGAGTTTATAACTCAATCACACACTGCCTTTCTGCTCTCATCCTCCCAGATGAAAGCGCCCATCAGACAGGCCACACTGAGGATTACTTTAATTACTCTTCCTTGAACTTTATCCAAACCTCCACAGTTTGTTTTCAGGTTTGTTTTAGTTTGGTTTTTTTGCCATGCTGGGGATGGAACCTGGGGCCTCATAAATTCTAAGCAAGTGCTCTACCACTGCAATTCTACCCAACTCTGACTTCAGAACCAGAGACACCAGTTTTGTAGCAGGGGCAGCTGTCTCACTATACTGGTAGTAAAGCCGTGGAGAAGGTAGGGGCTCACAAATGGTAAACAAGTAAATGATGGAGCCAGATTCCAACTCAGGTGTCTAGACACTCAACCACTATATTCCACAACACCACACAGCATTCTATGACGTCCCTTCTGACAACGTCCAGCACTCCTAACTTTTAGGGCCACCACAGCACTAGGAACATCTTCAAGAATGCACTGATCATCCTGCAAATATTATTGACATCATCCTAAATGCATCCTTACCCTCACCACGTCAAATCTACTCTTGGTTTTATGACCAAAGGGCCTCACCAAATTGTCCTCCAGTTTGTGTCCAGGGATTTGGTGTGTTGCAGCCTGAGATAACAGGGCCACTGAAATTCTTATTTCACCATGAATTCCTTTCTTCTCATTGGTGACTTTACCAATATTCCAGAAGTGGTGTTTTTTTGTTTTTGTTTCTGTTTTTCCTAGAGACAGGGTCTTGTGATGTTGCTCTGGC